ATGGATGGATGGGTGGGTGGATGGATGAATGGATGAATGGATGGATGGATGGGAGGGTGGGTGGGTGGATGAATGAATGGATGGGTCGATGGATAGATAGATAGATAAATAGATGCCGTTGAGTTGGCTTCAACTCATGGCCACCCAATGTACAATAGAACAAAACGTTTCCCAGTCCCGTGTCATCTTCAGATCACCAGCATGTTTGAGTCCATTGTTGCAGCCATTCTGTCAGTCCTTCTCACCAAGGGTCTCCCTCTCTGGTCCTCTACTTCATCAAACATGATGTTTTCCTCCAGCAATTGATCCCTCCTGATGATGTGTCCAAAGCAAATGAGTCAGACAATATTCTGTTGTGATCCATAGGGTTTTCATTGACTAATTTTTGGATGTAGATTGCTGGCTCTTTCTGCCTAGTCTGTCTTAGTCTGGAAGCTCTGCTGAAACTTGTCTACCATGGGTGACCCTGCTGGTATTTGAAATTCTGGTGGCTTTAAACAATAGGCATTGTCTCACAGTTCTGGAAACAAGTGGTTCCAAATCAAGGTGTGGCAGAGCCACAATCTCTCTGGAGGCTCTAGGGGAACATTCTTCCTTACCTTTCTCAGCTTCTGGTAGCCTCAGGCATTCTTTGGCCTGCAGCTATAGCAATCTCTACCTCCTGTTGTCACACACTTTCTTCCCTCTATTCCTTTTCCTCTTCTTTTAATGACACGAATCATAAAAAGACTAGGGTCTACCCTAATAACCTTAACTTATGACTAGGGCTTAATTTATAGTTTAACTTACAACTTAATTTAACTCATAACATCTTCAAAGTTCACATTCACAAGTACTGGGGTTTAGAACTTCAACATATGTTTTTAGGGGACACAGTTCATCTGTAACAGTGAGTGTTTGGCAGGAGGGGCCAAACATTGACATAAGACTATGATTTTCACTTTCTGACTGTAACTCTAAGCAAGAAGTATGTGCGCTCAGAACGCCCACACACACACCCTGAAGTTTCAGGGAAGAACACCCTCATGATACTGTGCTGCAGCTGACACTTTTTAGTAGAATCTATTTTATTATTAAAAGGTGCCAGTAGTGACTTAAAGGAGCCCTGGTGGCACAACAATTAAGCGCTCGACTGCTAACCAAAAGGTTGGTGGTTTGAACCCACCTAGCAGCTCCGTGAAAGAAAGACTTGGTGATCTGCTCCTGTAAAGATGACAACCTGGAAGACCCTATGGGGGAAGTTCTGTTCTGTTACATGGGTTGCTATGAGCTGAAGTTGACTCAATGGCACACAGCAACAGTAATTTTAAAATAAAAATCATATTAAGCCAATAATAGAAATTGATTGATGTTTATTTAATAGAGGATTTACAGATCACGGCAACATTTCAACTAGGGAGTCAAAAATGTTCCAAAGGTGAGAAAACCTCCAAAGACTCTTATTTGTTGTTGTTGTTAGGTGCTGTCGAGTCGGTTCCGGCTCACAGTGACCCTATATATACCACAGAATGAAACACTGCTTCGTCCTGCGCCATCCTCACAATCATTGTTATGCTTGAGCCTATTGTTGCAGCCACTATGTCAATCCATTTCGTTGAGGGTCTTCCTTTTTTTCACTGACCCTGTACTTTGCCAAGCACGATGTCTTTCTCCAGGGACTGATCTCTCCTGACAACATGTCCGAAGTATGTAAGACATAGTCTCGCCATCTTTGCTTCTAAGGAGCATTCTGGTTGTACTACTTCCGAGACAGATTTGTTCGTTCTTTTGGCAGTCCATGGTGTATTCAATATTCTTCGCCAACACCACAATTCAAAGGCGTCAATTCTTCTTTGGTCTTCTTTATTCATTGTCTAGCTTTCGTATGCATATGAAGTGGTTGAAAACACCATGGCTTGGGTCAGGTGCACCTTAGTCTTCAAGGTGACATCTTTGCTTTTCAACGCTTTAAAGAGGTCTTTTGCAGCAGATTTGCCCAATGCAATGCGTCTTTTGATTTCTTGACTGCTGCTTCCATGGGTGTTGATTGTGGATCCAAGTAAAATGAAATCCTTGACAACTTCAGTCTTTTTTCCATTTATTGTGATGTTGCTTATTGGTCCAGTTGTGAGGATTTTTGTTTTATTTATGTTGAGGTGTAATCTATACAGAAGACTGTGGTCTTTGATCTTCATCAGTAAGTGCTTCAAGTCCTCTTCACTTTCAGCAAGCAAGGTTGTGTCATCTGCATAACACAGAGTCTTGTTGTTAATGAGTCTTCCTCCAATCTTGATGTCCCATTCTTCTTCATAGAGTCCAGCTTCTCGAATTATTTGCCCAGCATACAGATTGAATAGGTATGGTGAAAGGATACAACCCTGATGCACACACCTTTCCTGATTTTAAACCACACAGTATTCCTTTGTTCTGTTCAAAAGACTGCCTCTTGACCTATGTACAGGTTCCTCATGGGCACAATGAAGTGTTCTGGAATTCCCATTCTTTGCAATGTTATCCATAATTTGTTATGATCCACACAGTCGAATGCCT